TCTCGAGACACAACAAATTCAAAGGTGCAATAGATAACTGGCATGAGACTCATTTTAAGGACAATCGTGGATGGGCAAGCGAGCAAGCGTGATTAGCTTATGTAAGTATCTAATTAACCTTTCAGAGAATTTTGTGATCATAAATTGAACATTAACCAAAAAACAGTAATTAAATTGGTTTAGAATTCATATAAGTCTATTTTTTAAATACTGACCATCGATGTCGTATGTTCTTACATGCTACATTGTTACTTCTTGTGAGAATCTTGAAATGCCCCTGTTAAAAGTAAATTGAAAAATATTAACCATAGATGTGTATTAAGATGATTGAGATGCCTTTGCTACATCAAAGATAATTTTAAAAACTAGTTTGTTGAGATGCATGTAAATTTATGATAGATTTTGTTATGGTTTATAATGATTAATTCTTACTAGTCAAATTATAAGTACTAATATTTATTAATATTTAAGAGTCAACTATTATGTTGCTAACTAATCTCCTTCAAATATGCAACAACAGTTGGTTGCAGAAAAGAAAATACAATTTCAGCGGGAGTCATCATCTTCCGTAAGGTGTTTGGTGATCAGTGTGGTCACGACATCGGACTTGGACGGAAGTTAAATGCCCATGGGATTTATCATTTTCCTCAAACACTTTGACATCATCTTATTATGAGACAATACAAGAGATGATACGAAGTGCGCAAGAAGCTTCGGCTCGACATCATGAAGAACAGAATAGGAAAAGGTACAAAGATTTACTTAGTGCACTTTTACTTGTGATTTCTAATGCAAATCTTGCCCACTTCCCACCATTTGAATCTACTCTGGCACCTCAGTTTGACTACAATGCCTTTATGGGTACAACAAATCAAGCATCACCGCAATAGTCTCTTGGTGGTGGCGACAATGAAGATCTGTAGTTTATTTATGAAACTTTCTATTGGTTTAGTTTTTTCCTGGATTTTTTTGGCTAACTTATCCTTGATTTAGTATGTTATATTAATGTTTTGATGGATTTTTTGTTAGAGGGATGTATCTTTGACTTATTGTTTTATTGAAAATGGAATTATAGGTTTTGTATTATTGCTAATATTCATGGAAAATTGGAATTGTGGTTTTTGTATTATTACTATTGGTTAATATTCATTGAAAATTTCTTGGATATTTATTATTATTATTATTATTATTATTATTATTATTATTATTATTATTTTTATAGTTTTTAGTGACAAAGGTCGTCTCTGAAAGTTGTTATATTTTTAAATTATTAATTACTATTAGAGATAACCTTTCGTCTCTAAAAAGAATTAATTATTTAAATAATTTTTTGGCTAACTTATCCTTGATTTAGTATGTTATATTAATGTTTTGATGGATTTTTTGTTAGAGGGATGTATCTTTGACTTATTGTTTTATTGAAAATGGAATTATATGTTTTGTATTATTGCTAATATTCATGGAAAATTGGAATTGTGGTTTTTGTATTATTACTATTGGTTAATATTCATTGAAAATTTCTTGGATATTTATTATTATTATTATTATTATTTTTATAGTTTTTAGTGACAAAGGTCGTCTCTGAAAGTTGTTATATTTTTAAATTATTAATTACAATTAGAGATAACCTTTCGTCTCTAAAAAGAATTAATTATTTAAATAATTTATTACCTTTAGAGACAACCTTTCGTCTCTAAATCCAATGACTTTCAGCGACGACGTGCGTGTCGTCGCAAACAAAACTTTTAGCGACAAGGCTACAACGAGGACACTTTCTGCGACGACAGTCGTCGCTATTACTCTTTAGAGACAACAACACTCCTTTTTGAGACAACTTTTGTCGTCTCTAAAAGGCACTTTTCTTGTAGTGTGTCTTTTTCCTCTATGGTTATGGAGGAATAGAAAAAACATCTGTGTGGAAGACATTGTCTGCTGCTATTAGATTTAAAGGTGAAGTAGTTATTAATGTTTCTTCAAGCAAAATTGCAGCACTCTTGCTTTTTGGTGGTAGGATAGCACATTCAAGATTTCATATACCAATTAACTTGAATGAGAATTCATTTTGTTCTATTATGCCAGGTAACGATGTAGCTGCCCTGTTGAACAAAGTGAGCCTTATAATTTGGGACGAAGCCCCAATGATACATCATCATTGTTTCGAAGTAGTTGATAGGACACTTAGAGATATTATCCTTCCATCGGAGAATGATAAACCATTTGGAGGCAAGATCATTGTATTTGAAGGTGACTTTCGACAATTTCTTTCAGTAATACAAAGAAGAAATCATTTAGATATTATGCAGGCATCATTGCATTCATCAAGATTATGTCGTGAATGTACAGTTTTACGTTTGACTGTAAACATGAGGCTTCAGGTCGGTTGTCCAAACAATGATTTCGAAGACACAAAATCATTTGCTGATTGGATTCTTAAAATTGGTGAAGGTACTATCGGTGCTCCTAATGATGGTGAAGTTGAAGTTGAATTTCCAGAAGATGTGATCGTTCCCTTTACGGGTGACCATATTCATTCAATTGTATCCTGCATTTATTCATCTTTTCGATACCATCTTGATAATCCATCGTATTTTCAAGATAAAGTTATTTTGGTCCCTACTAATGAAGAAGTTGATGCTATCAACGACTACATGTTAGAATTGATGAAAGATGAAGGTAAAACATATCTGAGTTCAGATTCCTTATGTGAGACCAAGACAGAAGATTCTTTTGAGGAATCAGTATACTCACTGGATGTGTTGAATGTTTTTAAGGCCTCCGGAATTCCCAACCATAAACTTATACTAAAAAAGGTGTTCCGGTCATGTTGCTTCGTAATATCGACCAAACCAGAGGACTATGCAATGGTACTAGATTTCAAATCGTAAGGCTTGGAAGACACGTCATTGAAGCATGAATCATATCTAGTAGATTTTTCAACGAGACTACTTATATAGCTCGCATGAAGTTGACCCATCCGATAAAAAAATTCCATTCCGTTTTCCACGTAGACAATTCCCAATAGTAGTTTGTTTCGCTATGACCAGTAACAAAAGTCAATGACAGTCATTATCAAATGTTGGATTATACTTGCGTAGACCTGTTTTCACCCATTGTCAGTTATATGTAGTTGTTTCTCGTGTAACAAGCAAAAAAAGTTAGAAGGTACTCATATATGACGAGGAAGGTCGTTCAATTAATAAAACAAAAAATATTGTTTACAAAGAGACTAATAAAACAAAAAACATTGTTTACAAAGAGACCCTCCAACGTTTATAGATATTTATCGATTTCATTGTTTCTTCTTCACATTTTAATAATACCAATAGCCATAAATTTTCTTTTATAATTATTATGCAATATATATAAATGTTTTTATATATTTTTAATACATTTCCCGCATATTCCCCGCATTTAACGCGGGTTATAATTTAGTTTATAACCAAAAGAGTTTTAAGAAAATGACTCTAATCTTTTATTATTATTATTATTATTATTATTATTATTTTTCTTTCTTTTAACGGCAGACCACACAAAATTGAAAGTCTTCGAAATTCCTATTCAGATTAACTCTATTTTTTAAGTCTTTTAAATTCGAATTAAGTCAACTTTATTTTTTAAGTTTTTGAAAATTGAATTTTAGGTAACTCTATTTTTGTTAATTTTCATACCAAATGATATGACGTTAGTCTTTTAGAAAAAGTATGACCTTTCTATAACTCAAATCCATAGAAACACTGATACCTTTCTTAGCAAACATAAAATGTACTATTAATTTGGGCTGTACCTGTGTAAATTAGTAGCGAAGAACCTCAACAAACAAGGTAAAACAGAACCGTAAAAATTAGGGTGCCTGTAAAATTAGTTACTTATGTGGATCACGAAACTTCTCACTCAAATTTCCTACCTGCAGTCCCATTATATTTAGGAATTAGGATACCAAGAATCTAAAAGCTACATCCCACATCTGTGCAAATAAACTGTTGTATGAAATGCCTGAAGGAGATTATGAGTCCTAATGTTCTTGTTTTTACTGGTGTTGAGGTTATGTAGCCGGTTTAGAGATGCAAGCAGCTGTTCATTGAAATGCCTGAAGAAGACTATGACAAGATAGAGAGTTTTTTTTGGTATGATTTATGTTTTATTAGGTTCTAACAAGCTAACAAAGACGATAATGATCCTATATAACACAGTTTCTATAACAAGCTATAACAAAGAAAATGATGCTACTATATATGAACTTGTAGTGTACTCATGCATTAAGGATTGTACAAATATTGCTCATGATTTGAGCAAGATTTTTTCTTTGTGCCTACGAATTTGTTGACTCAAGATAAAATACATGAGCAAAATAAAACTTTAAGAACATTCGTTACGTGTTTGTTGCATTGAATAATTTCCGTGTATGTATGTCTATCAAGATCTGTTGTACGTGTATTGTGTTTTTAACTAGTGGCCACTATACAAACTGATCCTTCGCTTTCAAGAAGGTGTGAGGTGTCTAAATGACTATCGTAAGGTTTCTCTTATTTTTAGTAATATAATTTTTAATTATATGTAATACATTTTAAAAGAATATTATTTCTATGCAGCTTCCCACAGATGCTGATAGGTCTGACCAAATCAGTAGACTTTTGTTCCTATTATTCAACGGTTCAGACTAAAGAACACGTACAGACCTGTTTTAACTGTTAATTTAATCAACTCATATATAGCAACGTAACTCAAACTTAAAATTTAAGTAATGAGCTCTCATATATTACTCCTGTTCGTTAATGTTCTTGTTTAAGTCGACAGGATTCCATTTTCGTTCTTTCCCGACCTACCTACTGAAAGTGTTACCTGTCATCTTGATGTTACTAAAAACTTAAAAAAAATTGTTGCCAATGATGAATTGCTGGTTATTTCCATTTCTAATCTTGATGTTGCTTAGCTTATAAATCCTTTCAACAGCACATGAAGATCCGTCTTACAGGGAAGTACAAGTGGGAGTGATTCTTGACATGGAATCATGGGTAGGGAAGGTCATTTATCGTTGCATCACCATGGCTATTTCTGACTTTTACACAGCCAATCCTCACTACACAACAAGGATAGTTTTTATAACTAGAGATACCAAAGGAGAACAACTTCGTGCCTTGTCTTCTGGTGTTGCTTCTTTTGCTATTTTTACTCATGAGTGTTTTCTTAGTTATCATAAACTTAAATTTTGAATACTAATATAGTGTGTTCATGGACGTTCAGCTCTGGATCTTTTGGAGAACACTAAAGTGCAAGCGATAATAGGTCCCGAATCAGAAGCAAGATTTCTGGACGTTTTTGAACACAAGGCTAACATACCAATTCTTTCCTTTTCAACAAGTCATCCCTTTCCAAATCGTAATCCTTATCTTCTTCAAATTTCACAAGATGAAACCACTCAGTTCAAAGCCATTGCTGCCATGGTTGAGTCGTTTAAATCTGCGGATGTGATTGTCATCTCTGAGGACACTGCAAATGGGAGAGAAATGACTACTTATATGGTTAGTGCGTTTCAAGAAAAAAATATATATGTTATGTATAGTAGCTTCATTTTAGCCTCTTCCAACAATGAACAAGTGTGGGAAGAGCTTCGTAAGCTTCAAACTATGCAAGCCATGGTGTTTGTGGTGCATGTGTCACCTTCTCTAGCTGCCACTCTTTTCTCCATGTCAAAAGAGCTGGGCATGATGGGTGAAGGATACATGTGGATTGTAACAAGCAAGACTACCAACCACCTGGATTCCATGGATTCTGAAGCAATCAAAACAATGCAGGGGGCTGTGGGTTTCAAATCGTATGTTCCAGCATCAAGGGAGCTTCACAGCTTTGTTTCAAAATGGAGAAAGGAACATTATGCTTTGGACCCTTTTATGGAGTTTAAGGAGGTAGATTTTAATGGTATATGGGCATATGATGCAGCTTATGCTCTAGCCATGGCTGTTGAAAAGGTACAAACTTCAGAATTAGCTTCGAAAGAGTTGGGTACCAATATTGGCACATCACTACTTTTAGATGAGATGTTAAGAGTCAAGTTCCATGGTTTAGGTGGTGAATTCAAGCTTATGAATGGAAGAAGCATCTCCAAAGCCATGGAAGTCGTAAATGTGATTGGTAAGGGTGGTAGGAGAGCTGGGTACTGGATGATGGATACGGATGAGTTTTCCAAAGAAATAAAGAAATCAAATTCCTCTTCCAATAGAAAAGGCCTTGAAATTAATTATGATCTGGCCAGGTGGGACTACAAGCATTAATCCAAAGCGTAGGAAGCTACAAACAAATGGCAAAAAGAAGCTGAGAATTCTGTTTCCAAGTACCAGCAGATTCCAAAATATAGCACAAAATAAGTGTTGATCCAAGAACAAATCAATCGGCTGCAAGCGGCTTCTGTGGTGATGTTTTCAATGCTGCGTTTAACTCTTTAGATTATGGAGTTGGTGTTGAGGTTGTTCCTTTCTCTTATAAGGATGGAATTACTTACGGTGATGTGATCCAAAAAATCTATCTTAAGGTACTTTTGTGCAGTTTTAAATTTAAAGGGCACTTCGTACCATTATTTGTAGAACAGGGATGAATCTAGATGGCTTTTTGCTAATATGATGTCGGTTTAATTTTACCAGGAATATGATGCTGCTATTGGAGATATAACAATCACACCAAATAGATCTCTTTACGTTGACTTCACTTTGCCCTTCACTGATCTAGGAGTTGGCATAATAGCCCAAAACGCCAAGAACAGTATGTGGATCTTTTTAGATCCTCTTAGTGCAGATCTTTGGATCACAAGTGCTTTTTTCTTTCTTTTTTTGGGGTTTGTCATTTGGTTTATAGAACATCGTACAAACAATGAATTTCAAGGTTCAACAAGACAGCAAATTGGAACAACCCTCTGGTTTGCCTTTTCAACCCTCGTTTATGCTCACAGTAAGCTCGCCAACTCTTTACACTCTAATCTCAATTTACTTAAAGATTTGATCTTCTTCTTGAGCAACCATAAAATCTATATCTTAGATCTGTTGGGAATTGAAAACTGCAGGGGAGAAGCTGCAAAGTAATCTATCAAGATTCGTGGTTACTGTTTGGGTTTTCGTAGTGCTTGTTCTCACATCAAGTTACACTGCAACTTTGAGTTCACTTTTAACTGTTCAACAGATTGGGATGAAGGATTTCTCTATCGGATTCTTCCAGGCTATTTCGCCCCTAGGAGGAGTTGTCAATAACAAATTTAATGCTGTTGAGGCCTGGTCAGAGAAACTATATGCACCTGAGGACTATACTAAAGCATTAGCAGCCGGAAAAGTTGAAGCAATTGTTGCTGAGATCCTTTACATCAAATCTTTTCTTGCAATGTATCCTGATTCTGATATATCAATGATCGCAACAGCACCCACCACCAATGGTTTTGGCTTTGTGAGTGCTCTCCAATCCTTTTGGCTTCTTTCATAACCATACATAGATCCCGTTTCCATTCCTCATTCAACTTATTTGCAGGCGTTCCAAAAAGGTTCACCTTTGGCCACAGAGATGTCCACTCAAATAGCAAAAATGCGTGAAGACGGGACACTCAAAGCATTAGAAGATAAATGGTTGAAACGTGAATCTGCATTGATGTCAAAGGATTTTTCTTCCCCTTCACCAAAACTCTTGAATCTTTATGGGCTTCGGGGTCTCTTTCTTATCAGTGGTGTGTCCATGGCATTGGCCCTTTTGGTTTCCATGATTGACCTTCTTCGTGAGAAATGGCATATCAAAAATAAGATTAAGATGTTAAGGTGCATCTTACATAGATCTTCAGAAATACATACACATAATAGTGATGTGGAATCAACGGTTTGAATTTTCTGTGAAGTTAAATCCGAACAACTATACCTTCCACCTTGTTTCTACATAAGAATCAAAATTGGTGTCAAATATATATAGTTTTGTTTTGTTTTTTGAACTTGGATTCTTATGTATTTAAATTGAAAAACGAATACAACAGTACCATAATTTTCAAAGATAAAAGGACCCAATTTAACTAATAGGCCAAGGAAGGGTGGTCATGTGGTGGTTTGGCAAGGTGACTCGGTTTTGATCCACATCACTACAAATATGTAACTAGATCATAGTGGGTTGTCAAAGTTGAATGCCAACTAGGCATTCAATAAATTAAACCAAACCATAATAGGTTGTCAGGTTGGCATACAACGGATTTGGCATTCAATGCCTAATTGAACCGTTGAATGGGAAAATGAAAACATGTCCCATTAAACTTTGTATGTGTCAATAGATTGTTGGAATTAAATGACAAAGTTGCATGGAATGCTCTAACCCGACAACTAATTAAACTTTGATGTCCTCACTTTGATACGACGTGCCAATACATGTGGTGGACTTGACAAAGTTACCAAGGAAAATCAAACACTATGCAAAAATAACAAGAATTGTAATATTATAATGTTAGTTAGTTGTTTGACATCTTAATTTTGTATATTTTGGATCATGTAGACATTTTCCAACAATAAGATGGTTGGTACCCCTACATCGGGTGTGTTCCCTCGGACAGTTGCTGTAACATCCCAAAAATACGATTCAAAATTTTCATTTTCAAATTATTCGTAAAACCATAATTATCATTCATCATCTCATAAAAACATAAGTAATGTATTACAAAATCATCATCACAATGTACTGTATCAAAACCAGGTGTCAAAATATCAGAGTAAATCATCCCAGGCAAAAAGTTGGGGTGTGTGCCATGCAGTCATCCCGAGCCCTTCCTCTTGCTACTAGAAGTACCTGAAACCAAAACTGAAACTGTAAGCACGAAGCTTAGTGAGTCTCCCCAAACTACCACATATCATACACATATAACATACAACTAGGAGATACGGGCCCCGCCCACACTCATGGAGATACGGGCCCCGCCCACATTCCGCTGGCTATGAGATACGGGCCCCACCCACACTCTGCTACTATGAGATACAGGCCCCGCTCAAACTATAACACCCCGTTTATTAAATAAATAAATAGACAAATTAATGAATGAATAGTAGCCCTAAAATCCGTAATTATATAGCAAGGTGTTGGTTTCGAGGAGTTAACTATCATAATTTAGAAGTTGGGGGTTAAAAGTGTAAGTTCCGGATTAGTTTTGTAAATATTTATGAAGGCGGGGACAACTTGGTAAATTATTGGGACTTAATTTGAAGAGATTTTGGAGGCTAAGCGGCTGTTAGGTAACTGTTGGACTTAATATGAAAAGAATTCTGGGAGCGGGGGTATGAAGAGTAAATTATGGGCCTTGATTGAAAAGATCCTTATGGGGATGGGCCATTCCTATCATTATGGCAACAAGTTTGTAGGAGTCGGGTATATAACCCTCCTGAAACCCTAACCCTATGAGGATACACAGCCGCCAGCTTATGCCTCCCACAACCGGCTGCCACCCCCTTCTTTAATCACCGATGCCGCCACAACTGTTGGAGTCGGAAAAACCGCCACCATTCACCTAGTCGTTCTCCGTCCTCTGTTGCTATTGCGTGAGTCACGTCCTTCGCCATCCACCCAACCTACTCCACTATTACATTGTTGTCGCTGTCGTATGGCTTGTTGCTGTTGCTTTGGTCATTGTTTGCCATGCCGTAGAGCTATCGTGTTCGTGTGTTGCCGCTCCAGCCACCGTAAGTGCCACTATAGCATTGTTGTTCTGCCGTTGTCGTCCTCCGAGCCGTAGCTATCGCTGACGACGCCAGCTGTAGGTGCAGCTGTTGCTGCTGTTTGTGCCCCATCGTCCACCGTATGTCGTACGCATGTGTGTTGATGTGTTACCGGGCAGAGGATCAAGAGAAACCACTGCCACCACCGTGAGGTGGTGGCTGTCATCGCAAACCGCCGCTTATGCCACCTTTCGGTGATGTTGTCATCGCCGTATGCCACCCGATGGGTGGCGAGGTTCTTTTTGTGAACAAAAGCAGTTTGTGTGTGTTGTATGTGGTGATGTTTGGCCGGAATTCACGAGAACAACCACCACCGTGAGGTGGTGGCTGCTGCCTTGTACTACCGCTGGCCACCATAAGGGTGGTTGTGTGTGTGTTTATCTTGTTGTATGTGTGTTTATATTGGGGCATTGCATTGTAAAATTGTAATCGGTGACGGAATAATCAAAGAAAGCTCATAATTACCACCGTGAGGTGGTGGCTATCGCCTTCTACCGCCACCAGCCGCCGTGTTGGGTGGCGGTGTGTTTTTGCTTGTGTTTAGACTGCTTTTGGGATGTTTCGACATAATTGGACTAGAACCATAACCACCACCGTAAGGTGGTGGCCGCCACCATGAGCCGCCGTTGACCACCACTACTCGAGGTGGTAGTGGATGGTGCTCGACTTATGAAACCCTAGTTGACCTAATGAAACCCTAATTGATCTAAAGACTTAGCTTTTAGGTCTAATTAGTGTGTTTTGGGTTGGAAACCCTAATTAGGGTTTAGAAAATCCTAATCTTGGAGATTTTAATTTGGACCTATCGGGACCCACGTCTTGGGCCATTGGAATTGAATTATGAATTTCACCCAATCACACCGTATGATCTATCTAGTAGAGTGATGGAATTAATGGATTAAGTCCTTAATGGGTTAAGTAAGAAACACTTAACCCTAATTGCCATTATAATGTAAAAATCCTAATTTCGCTTGGGCCTTGAGTTGGGCCTTTATATTGGGCTTTAGTGATTGGGATATTGATGGGCTATCTAAGAACAAGTAAATGGACTAAAATATTTGGATGGGCTTTAGGGTAAGGCCCATGTGAGGGACTTACGCCTAATTTGGAAAATTAGGCCATAGATGGGCCATAATTGGGCCTTGATGATTTTGAGATATTGGACCATTCGAATGCCAAGTGTTGGGACTAGGATTAATGGTTGGGCCTTAAGATGAGATCATGAATAGGTTTGGGCCCAATTTGGAAAATTGGGCCATATGTTAGGCTTTGGTCCATTGGTTGACTTCTGGGCCTTTGGAGTGTGAATTGGGCCTTGGGCTTAAATAAAGCTAGGTTAGGGGTAAAATAGTCTTTTACCCCAAGCATAGACTTATGATTATATATTGGAACCCAATTATTAATTGGGTGTTGTTTGATGTTGACAGTTCGGGAATCTTTCATCCAACAACTAGGGTTTTTGTCTGAGGGACTTCAGCAGTGTGTGGTGAGTTTTCTTCACTATACTCAAGGGTCTAAGGCACCAAGGTCGACCCTTTTTGGATTGTTGTCCAGATATGTTATATGGTCGAGTATCGTATGATCTGTTAGATCAATATCCTGGTAGATAGGATGATATTATGTTATTATGATCTGTTAGATCGGTATCCTGGTAGATAGGATGTTATTATGCTGTTATGATATGTTAGATCGGTTTGTCTGTCTATACACTGTTGTGTAATTATCTATTATATGTGTACATGTTTTATTGGTGGTTGAGACTTATCTGCTTTGTGTGAGAGCCAACAGACCTGGGCATTCCAACCCGATGGTTGTGGGCCGTGAGGATTCCATCCCGATGTTGATTGGACTCATAGTATGTGGGTATTCCAACCCGATGATTGTGGGTCGTGCGTATTCCATCACGAGGATGATTGGACTCGTAGTATGTGTGCATTCCAACCCGATGATTGTGGGTTGTGGGTATAGCATCCCGAGGATGATTGGATCCATAGTATGTTGGCATTCAAACCTGATGGTTGAGGGCCTGAGGTATTCTAACCCGATGGTTGATTAGACCCATAGTATGTTGGCATTCCAACCCGATGGTTGAGGGCCTGGGGTATTCCAACCTGATGGTTAATTGGACTCATAGTATGTTGTTTGTGATTATATGTGTATTTTTGTGTGTATGGGTATTTTGGGGGAACTCACTAAGCTTTGTGCTTACGGTTTTTAGTTTATTGTTTCAAGTGCTTCAGATGTCTCGGTAAGGTGAAGGCATGACCGTACACATCCTCGCATTTTGGACTTATGGTTTCTGGGATACTCTAATATGAAACTATTTTTTGGAAACATTTTGTAATAACTAATGGCTTTTGGATGTTTGAAAAAGTTTTAAATTGGCTTTATTTTAATAGGTATTTCAAGTTGGTATCAGAGCCTTAGTTTGAGTGAATTGGAGGGACACTCGTGTGAATCCAATCTCAAACTAAGGAAAAGATTTTCAAAATGATTTTTAAAAGGTTTTCAAAATAATTAAAGGAGGATGCAAAGCGTACGATCAGCCGGAGCCAGTAAGTAGACCCTAAAATACCATACGAATATTTAATATTATGATATGATAGAATAGTATGCTAGTACTGGGCTAGGGATCGTCAGTAATTGCATGATAGAATTGTCTGATTGTATGATGCATGATAGCCTACGGTTTTCTTATATGAAATTGACATCATTACTGTAGTTTCTTAGTGGATGCATCACGACCGTACATAATTAAGATCTTATAGCCTGAGAATGTTTCCTTTGGACTTATTTCATGTTCTTGTTTGATGAAGGGCTTAGGGTAGGATCAGGTATTCGAAAGTCTATAGGGTCCAACGTTATGTATAGCTAGCATACACGAGTGCTACAGGGTTGGTGGAAGTTTCATGGGTGGGTTGTGTGCGGTCGGTATGCCAGTATGATATTTAACATTCCTCTAGGAGTGAGGATTACGCGCTTGCAATGTTATTGTATATTGTTAGTGCGTTGTGATGATACTTGATACAAATATGGGTAGGTGTGGAAGGTAGTATGGCCCCGTACTACTGAAAGCATAGGACCCATATGCGTAGCAAGGAAGTCACAACCCCTAGGGTATAGTTGGGAAATTGGTTCCCTGTTATT